ACATCGACCTTTTCACGGCACCCTCATCGGGCTTATGCGGCTTTTAAACAAGAGCCAGGTGACCAGCCTGAAACCCATCACACCCTGGTAGTGCCGCCGCTGTTTGTTCACGGCTGCTTATTTGTTACGGTACGCCACAACGGATTCACAGTTAACCTTCTGCGGTGAAGATGTTCCCCTATCCACAAGCCAGGGACGCGCCTGGTAGCATTCAGCTCTGCTTAACCCGAGGGTCTGCCACTCTACTACTCGCAAGCAACTCTGAATTAAATGCGAATTAAGCCGACACGATCATTGCCCTTTATTGAATTACTCCCACTACTCTATGTAATTCAGACATAATCGTTACGGGCACAAGATCAACATAAATCGTCAGTATTTGATCAGAGCTGTCTACACATCGTCGCGCGAGTCCTGTCGGACAAACAGATGCGAAATCCTAAGGTTATGGGAAGAGCATCAGGTTATCATGATCACGCACACTCCATTGATCGGCCGGAATGGAACACGGTGGATAAGGTGTGTTAAGCAAGTCCCTTCAATAGGCTAGGCCTGATGATAGAAATCAGGTGGCGGATAATCAGATTAGGATCTGGAGCGAAAGTACAAAAACCTGACTAGTGTTAAGTTTCTTGAACACGGACCTAGGAATCAGTCTGATGTGGATGAGTGTCGTTACCTGGTGTGCTTTTGCGTCCACTGACATCATACTCACGCCTAGTTCAGATGACGTTTTGCATCTTTATTTTGTACCAATATCCGATTTTCGAGTATTTTTCATTGACTGAATAAACGGATAAATGAAACAAAGGAGAAAGAAGCCAGAGAAAAGAAGTGAAAGGTTAAAAATTGCGCAAAACGAATTTGAAACGACCATGAATATCGGTACACATCGTCCCAGACTAGTTTCACGGAGGGAACATTTCAGGTGTGTGAAAAAGGGGGGAGTAGATTATTCCTTTTTTACCATTATCTTGGGGCTTGTGCGTGAATAATCGTGTTTATAATAATATCAAATGCTGTGCATCACTCTTGTTAAAATCGGTGCACCTTCATACCATTATGTACGGTTGGCAGTAGTATCGAAGTTGCTCATTCATTTGGTTTCTCACGGAAATAGGTTGATGAACTCGGTTGTTGTTTTACCATGATGATTACTATTCCTGCGAAGCTTCAGAACAAAGTATACCAGGTTCAGATAGTTTGCATCGAGAATTACTCCAGCATCACTTTACCATCGTGGTAAGCGGTGTTCTTACATAGTTGAATGATATTATTATCACCAGCAGTTCGACTATCAGTTACCGGTCATTTGGATCTAACAGTTCAGTCTTTTTTGCACGGTACTTGAGATTTAAAAAAATATGGGTATGACACCAAGAGTTTAACCGTTTGGGTAGGAAAACTGAGATATCCTTGTGTAAGTAACAACTGTAACGGAATTCGCAGCACAAACATAATGCGAGTTCGGTTCAGGAAGAAAACGTATCCACGTGGCAAATAATACAGTTATTAGCAAATCGAATTTTTATCTACAGGCTTCTTAAAAAGTATAAAGGGAAATTAGGGTTATTGCATGGAAAAACAAGCAACAACAAAAAACAATAGTAATCGAAAGAAGAAAGCAAACAGAATATACCGAAAGAACGTGAAGTTACATACATTGGTGTTCATGGGCAACAAATTCAACAGGAGTATATCTCCAGCACGCAGACGGTCTTCGGACCCGTCTTCAAACGTGACGAGGTAGCTGTAAATGATACGGGGCGAGGGAATGGACAAAAAGGTTCATTATTGAGGAATCAGTTGAATTCAACAGACATGTTTACACCACAAGTTTTCTCATTGCATTTTCAAGGAGCATACTCAAAAAGAATGGGGGACGGGGGAATCACTCCATAAACTATCCCACCACTATCACTTACAGGGAATTCAAAAACAGTGACTTAAAGCCGATCGCCAAAGCCTTCAAATAACTGCTCGCGTCTGGTGGGAACATCGAGTGACCAATGATGGCGGTCGTGGTCGTTGGGTGCTGCAATGCCACTCCACAAGCACTGAAGATGTCATCATCTCCGTTGGTAATGAGGAGTTTGCAAACCAATCGCTCGGTGAAAAGACGAAAAGGAATTCAGTTTACTCGGTCTACCAGAACCGACTTTCGATAATTTGTTAAAATGAGGTCCGTTTACGAAGCTCTCACTGAAAACGTAAAGTAAATACTAAGTAAACGAGGTGAAACACTTACCTTACCTTCCTAACCCTTAAACAGACACACGATGATGAAATGGGGAAAACTTGTTTGATGCTCAAACCTAAACACAGGCATTTATTTGTTGTGAACAATCCCTATGGGCGAACATAGCGCTATGTGATAAGATGTGCAACCAGGAGCTGCACTAACAAGTCACGATTGCATTGATTTGTCTGTAACGGACTATTCATGGAACGTGTTTCTCCTACTGAGTCTGGTAGGTTTGTGGCAAATCGTCACGTAACCTGCATGGGTGACCTAATTCGGTAGGGCGGGGATAATGGCAGTTAACCGATAGTAAACAGTGTCTCCTTTTGTTACTTTCGGGGTAAAAGTGAACTGACTGAATATCTCGGAAGACGGCACCTGAACAAATATGTATTGGCCATTTGGTTCAGCCCTGGTATGAGATGGTTGGATCAGTGGCACACACACCTTTCATGCGATGGGTCCGGACTTCAAACCCCACACAAGAAAGTGCATGTGCACTATTGATGTGCTCTAATATGAGCAAAACTTGAGTCAGGCGTTTCAGATTGTACGACTGACTGGATGAACTGAGGATTGCGCATGAATTTGAAGTCCGAAGAAAATTCAATTCAAATTAAAGAAATAACTGTATCCAAAAATGAACATTACGGAACCTGGTGATCAATGATATAATATTGTATATAGACTAAATTGCACGAAATGTGCAACATAGTTATATACATAAACATACACAGAAGTTATTACATTACAATACAATACAATATAGTGAATAAGTAAGACAGTACAGCGACAACGACGATGATGGAAAAGGAGAATTGGGACATAAATGAAGGGAATGAGGAGAAACTGATTACCGAGAGTAAGAGCAGTAATGCTTTTTATTTTAGTTTTCACCACTCATTTTTCGATGCTGTTTATCTGCTTCGTGCTCGTTTGTCATTTATAGGGTATGGGATTTCAACTGACACCGCACATCACTCGTGCCATCGGCTTTTGATATATACGAAATCATTCAGCATCTCTAACCAATGATAATTTTGATCCCTTGGATCCTTATCTGGGAGGAGGGAAGCACCAAACGAAAATAACTAAGACAATTTCCTTCACTAGTCGATCTAAACCGACTCCGAAGTCTTAGACGCCCCATAAACGTATGTTCGTTACACATAGGTCAAGTGATTATCGCACTTGAAATCCTTTTAGGAGTTTCCCTACAAGAGAGAACTCACGAATAGTTTACACTTGACGAATGATTGCTTACTCTCCTCCACAAACCCGAGCTTTTCTGCGAGTGGAATTTACAGACAAAACAGAACGCGCAGAAAATGAGGTTTTCATTTACCAGAGACAAGGAGCAAAAGAATCACCAGGACATTCCTTTCTGATAAAATATGTTGTTGTTGTTACACGTTTGTGTGAGCAACTGACGGAGTGAAAACCATGGTCAAAACGACCAGATGTTGAGTGATGAAAACCTGTGATCTAAGCCCCGGGACTCGGAGTGGCAAACCACATAAGCCAGCGCTAGGTTAGGCGTGGTATCGAACCGGATGACAGCAAAGATGTCTACCAAGGTGCTCAGGTCAACGTCCCCAAAAGCACCACTATCGTATAGGGTGGGGATCTCGAGTGGTGATTGGTTTCCCGTCTATTGCACCTCACACAACATGCTCTTATACGACCAGGCTTCTCAAATAGCTTTCGCCAGGAAAGCCATACTGTAAACGCGTAGCAGTCCAGCTGTGGGAGTTTAAGAAAATCCCTGATTTCAAACCAAGAGGTTCAAGAACCAAATTCACACTTTGCCGGTTATTGCTGAGGTCACCGGTTGGATTCGGTATCGAATCGCACTGGATGCCTAAGACGTTTGACCGCGGCCAGCCCGCGAGGAACTGCGATTTGCACGCAAGGCCTTGCTGTCTTGAAAGCGAGTGCTCAATAAAAACTTAGTTGCCTTGTCCAGTGTAACCTGGTGGCATCCCGCTCACGAGTTCGAGTTCTTTGAGACGAGACTTGTTGTATCATGCTTTTGTAGACCACGAAGAATCAGACTCCCGTAAAACTTGTCTTCGTGCGTTAACCATCTTTTGTGATATCTTATGAAGGTCCTTATCAGAAGCGAAGGCCCTTGAGGATCGAAAAAGTTTGGTCACAACGGACGAGGTTGGCTCCAGAAGGAGAGCACCGTTTAGTCAGTAGCAAGTAATTTTAAGCGATCACTTCAAAGAATTAGTTTATTAGTGCTACGTTTATGTAAGCGAATGTGAAAACTGGCAAACAGTCTTTAACAAAGAACTGAATGAAAGCTTACTTTACTCCGGTATCCGAATGTTCTCTAATCCACCCTGCATAGTAGTACGGCTCGAAGTGCCATCTTCCGTAGATCGGTAATCCGCACGAGGCTACAATAAAATGGCACCAGCGGAAAGCAACAGACGGAGAGAATCAGAGCACGTTTCATATATCAGTTGAAGGAATTGAGTTGACTAACGACGAGACCTGAAGTTAAATACATTCAATCTCCTGCTATGTCGCACCCCTCGGGAATTCGAAAAAGTGGGTAAATTCCAGGAAGTGCGACATAGCAGGGTAGGCAGTAGTAGATGCTAATAATGAGTATAATTAATATAAAAATCGGTTGATAGTTTGTGACAAAATAAACCGGATCGGTGAAAAGTAGGTGATTCCCGTTGGAGTTCCAAATATTCATAATTATAAAATGTTTATTTATAACCGAATTTAGATCTACCGTCCTGCGTATCCTGTATGTATCAAAGAAATTTATATCTTTTATGACACCCTCAGCTTAATATCGGTACATTGTGTGCAGTATTCAACCCTTTTTAGCTCTGTGTCTAGTTATCCCGAAACTAACCACCTTTTTTCAGGGGAACTTTTTCTGACCAAATCATCCAATATTAATTCCACCTATTCCTCCATTCCGTTGAAACGTTAGGCTAACCACAGAATTGATTATATGAAGTCCACCATATTATGTAACTGTTTTAGCTATCATAATAATCACATCATTAGGAACTCACTCAAGGAGAATAAAGGTGAACCAGTTCGAATACAGTGAGATGGAAATACCATCTAAAAGGAGTGTTCAAACTGATTGATGCATTCATCATGGTCGGACTAAGTTCAACTAGAGATGCCTTAACGTGATTTATTAAGCAGACTTTCTTCAAGTTTAGATGTCCGAGTGTCAATGTTGCTGTCATGTTGCTGTGTGGATAGTCCGATTACGCCATCGTTTCACACTGTCTTGTACTTTTGTGATTATCTTGTTGTCATGTTCAGTTCATCCGTGTAGTGAAGGCACGTCTGCTGTAAAGCCGGAGTTCATTGGGTCTGCTAAAGACTCCCGGTTGTAGACAAGGTGTGGTTTCTCGCTCGGGTTAGGCGGGCAAGCCCCAGGTCTCTTATTGCGGTGACCTATTCGATCGATCGATAAACGAACTCGAACGGTTGCGCAAATTTCGGGCTGGTATAGAAGGAAGATACGCTTTGAATCAGATGCTACTTAATTTGGTAGAGAATAACCGCAGGAGAATCGGTTGTGGAACGACGCGCCATGTGGGAGGTTCGGAATGAAAAAGTTCAAGCGATGATGACACTGGGTCAACGTTTGACTCGTCTAAGATACAGGCACTATTTTTTAAGCGGGTTCGCGCGCAAATTTTTCGGTAGGTGTGAGACGGGAATTTCTTACAGAAATTCACTTCTGTTCCGCTAACCGAAGGCCATAGACGCCAGCGTACAAGAATCACGGCAACTCTCCACCAATTAAGGATTCATAAACTAAGAGTGCATCTCACAAACTGTCCTTAGGCCTGGGTTACGATGACCTTTGACAAGTGACCTATCTAATTTCATCGGTGCTCTAGGACAAGTGATTATCGTCTGTTCAATCACGCAGGCGCATCCGCGCGAAGGTGATTATCGATCGCACGGATCTGACATTTCACTCGACTCACCCACTTACCAGTCAGTCGCGATTATCGTTCACCCGTTTGCACGCCAATGTAACAAAGCCCATTGATAGACCGAAAGACCGGGGCTTTGGTGACCACTATTGCAAAAATGACCACATTCGAGTGCCCCACAGAATTGTAAAAAACAGATTACAAAGATGCATTTTTAGCAAAATCATAAATCGCTGTTTGTCTCAGCTTGGCTTTCCTTTGGAAATCAACAAACGCACCGTTTGAATCAATTGTACATTCCAATAAGCAACACAAACTCCGAGCATCAACCACGGCAAACGGCTTCAATCGATCCAATGACTTCTGCGCCTCTCTGATTGAGATGACTTCCAGCGCATTCACTGCCTCACATTCATCTTCGTCTTTGCGATGCTTAGCTTGATTCAAAACGAATTCTAATTCTAATGACTAAAAGAGAGACTTAATACAAAAATGTTAAATAACCCGCTTCTTCATCATCAAATTCCAAACAGACGTTCTCTTCTTCAAAAAGACGGTCATCAATAGACACATAATGAGTAAGGTTCCGATCAAATTGCATTTATTCTCTGGTGGCTACATCACCGGTCTAATCAATGTGAATTGTAACCCTTCTTTCATGAAAGCGCTGATCAATACGTGCGGGCGCACAGACACACAAGCTTTTTTGACCAGATGCATGGCCATGAGAATGTCCACCTCGGCTTTCATGATACGTTGCTCATCTTCGATCAAAAACAAAACATATTCCAGTAAATGTTACCGAAACGAACATTCAAAAAACCAAATCATGCCCTGATCCATTGGTGGTAACACTGCAGGACAGTTCAGAGGCAGCCGTACCGATTTGACGTTGAAGAATACTGCTGCTTGGTTATGACAAGGGGCGTTGTTCACAAATAGTAAAATAGAGCGCCTTTGAGAAGCCATTTTGCGGTTGACATCGGACAGCCAACTGTGAAATAACGTAGAAGTCATCTATGGGTTCTTTGAAGAATTATAACTGCATAGATAGCTTTTTCTATCTATACCTCGGAGGCATCGTGGATTTTAAAACTTTCCAATCACCAACTCGTCCACTGCATTACGTGGTCCGCTAAACTTCCCCACAGACCTATGAAGTAATGCACATGAGTCGCTTGTTTCTTACTTTGTACGATTGAATACCATATCTGTCTGACCAAAAGCGAAACCCACCTTTGGAAGCCTTGAAGTCATTATGTTGCAATCTTTGTGCCAGCTGGATTGCCTTCTTACGTACAATGCTCTCCACCATTGGGAACCCTCCTTGTTTTTCCCTCATAGCAGTAAACCAGGCCAAAGTTGCCTCATTCACTGCCTTGAACTGTTCGCTGGTTTTCAGGTGGCATCTTCTCTCAGATGCTCTAGCGTTCAAAAATTCACCGATGGGATACAACACTGTAGACAGTTTTTCGTGAAATTCCAAGTGATTTATCTACGGATCTCTGAGTTGCACCTGGCTGATTCAGCATTTCCAACACATGCTTCTCTCTGATCGATAGGCGCTTGCACATTTTGACGTCAAATGACACTGTCTCCGATCGCTTATATCGGTGTGACTTCCTCGTAAGGATTATCCAATCAGTGAACAGTACCATGAACGCGTCACACTAGGTGCAACGCCATTGGTTGAGTGCGACATTTCAGTGTGGATGGTCAATGGTCGTCCTGAACATCGTTCAACGACCAAATGAGAACGAATCAGGAACTGTGACATTGAGGGGTGCGACATTGCATAGTCAGGAACTAAGCATACGATTAGTTTGGGTTTTCGAAAAAGTGGGAAGATATTGAAAAATGTGACTTCTCAGGGGTGCGACTTAGCAGGAGATTGACTGTAGATTAAAAGCATACACCAAATCTAACGCCTTCAACCGTGGCTCCTGAAAATTAAACGATACTGTAACTGCCCTTCAACAAGAGCATCATTCGATGAACCAGTCTGCACCTTTTTATTTATTGGTTTGCATAATACTGCATTTTTTCTACTGCATGTTTGTATCAAGACTCGTGTGAGCCAAATCTCGTTCAAAATTCCGTTTGCTTTAGGCTGCTTTGACTAATCAGTAAAGCACACACAACTGCAGTCCACTTACGCGTCAGCATATAAGCACTGTGAGGGAACTCAAGAAGAACAACGATATCATACTACTCGAACACCGAGGTGGTTGTTATGACCAAGGAAGATTATGTTCTAAAGCTTTCTGAGATAATTTCGGATGATAAAAAGTTCATCAGCTGCAATAAAGGAAAGGACGGAAGAGAAAAGGTAGAGGAGAAATCACGGATCAACTGAAGGCACTAAGAATACAGGGGTACATGGAAAATATAACATTCCAGAACCATGAAATCCTGCGTTTATATAGTCTCCCTAAGATTTACAAAGAACCAGTTCCAATACGACCGATTATGACAATGGCGAATTCACCATATCACACAACGGTATAGCTGTTGGTCGAATTACTAGAAATTTTCGGTCATAGACTCGCCCCGTACAGTATCAGAGACAGCTTTCAGTTTGTAGCCAACACAGAAGATCTGGATTTGCAAGACAAGACGATGTTTTCTTTGAATGTCGTCTCCCTGTTCACTAGTATACCCCTGATGTAAACAGTCGTCAAATAGAAACGCTAAATGTAAACGTTGGTATTCCGGTTGCAAACCGCTGCACACGTAAAGTTTAGTTTCTATTTAACGGTACTGGCTTTCGTTAGATGGACGTGATTGCCATGGGATTCGAGCTCGGTTCGTTGTTAGGTGACAGGTTCGTAGCTAAACTAGAAAGGAGCACAATGAGCTCAACTATTGAGGGATTAGCACACTACAGTAGATAAATAGAATGATATCTTCTGTGTGACCGATCACGAAAATGGTATCCCACAGACACTAGAATCGTTTAATGAAGCATATCCATCACTGGAATGCACCGTAGAAGTTGAAACGAACAACATATTGGCCTTTCTGGATGCAGCCGTGTCAAGGAAAGAAGATGGATCAGTGAGAAGAAAGATCCACGGAAATAAAATATGGAATAGTCAATATACCAACTTCTATAGTTTCATTCTTGTGAAATACAAACGTAACCTAGTCTAGTGTCTAACCTTCAGAGCCCGGAAGATTTGTTCGGCAGACACATTGGATGAATAACTACGCTTCATTCGCCAAACGCAACAAGACAATGGTTATTCGGAAAAGTTCATTGACAGAGGTATTCGGCTCGCTACGGAGAGGGAAATCTCTGAATGAGTCTCCCAGACTGAACTATTCACAAACATCTTATTTAATGGGGACTCATACCTAGATATTAGACTATCTAGGTATCTAAGTACAGTCACTGAGCGGATGTAAATTCCACTCACCTCGCGGTCAAACCTTGACAGATGTTGTCTACAAGACCGATGATGCAAATGAAAGACAAGCTGTGACAATTTAGTGGAACACGCTATATAGATCGTACCGTAGGGCGTTTGTCTCAGCGAGTTAAGGTGCACCCAACGTTATGGTCGAATCAGGGAAAAATCGGCTGTATCGCAAACACGATCGTGGGCCAGCTCGCCAACACCGGACACATGATCGAACCGAGTTTGGGCATTAGCCATGGCCGAGGCGATCACCACCCACTTACTAGGCCGCAACCTGTGTGCCCAAAAAAAGCTGATTCCAGCGCTTCAATTGCCTTGGCGTGATATGAGAACCGAAAGGGAACATGACGTGCCATTTGAGCCAAATGGGGGAAGGTCACATCAGCTAACACATTAAACGTCTCCCCTCCCCTACACACACATCCTCTACTTCCTTCCCCCGATTAATGACCTTAAATTGGGCAGATGGTGCATGGCTGCTCACGGCACCTTAGGAACCCATTAGCCATTCGATAAAGGTCGATGTAACCCAGGGATGCACGCATTCCCGTAGGTTGAACAGATTTCCTTCATAGAGCTGGAACAGGCAGTAGATCCAATCTGTTCAACTACGAATAGCTGTTTTCACAGGCCTTCTTGCCATGGTTCATAGACTTTGATCATCCTAAATCTAGTTTAGCCTACTGGTCGACTTATTTTCCGGAGTGTGGCATATAATGAATCTCCCAGGTTCTGAGAGAGACAAGGGAGAGCTCGTTGATGATGACGATGTAAACCATAAATCTATCAACTCAAATGCAGTGTTCCGACATCCCTCCTTTACATCCCACTGTTGAAGCATAATATGAGGTGATTGTGCGCCGAGGCATGTGTAGTCTGAAAGCATAACTTAGTTAAAGTGGAACCACGGAGTAAACAAAAAAATATGAGCGCATTTGAGGATAAAGTGATATCGCCACCGAAGGTTAATAAGATGATCACGTGGCTCGCGTCAAGAGTTAATGCAAACTCAATGACAGCTGAGGGCCAGCAGGTGCGTTCGTAGCTTATGGATTGAGGGTAGAACACCGACCGATTCGACGATTAATCGTGGATAA